CACCAAGATACAGTTACGCAAAACAAGGAATATGGTTTACTGTATAGTCTGTAATATTTGTGAGAGATTCAATTTCATTTCAGTAATAATTACCGTAACTTAAGTATGCAAATACAGTACCTGACTTTGTAGCACAAAAACAAAAGATTAAAAAATCTTGCCCCCCCTGCAGTCCCATGAATCATTACAAAAGAGACATGGAGTGATATTTTTTCCTCATTCCTTTATGGCACTCACTGATAGCTGAACATTTCACATTTTTTCAGTGAATGAAAATCTCTATAAATATCTTTTATGTTGGTTTTCATAGACAAAAGTTCAGAGATATACGCAAAAATTAACACCTGCGAACTAGCCAATACAAGGACAACTGTAAAACAGTAGCCCACTGAAACAAAACAACTACAGTATTACAAAGGATGGGGAATACTACTGGTTTAGAATTTTACAGAACAGTAAAAGAAGGGTGGGCTTATAGCTGGATAAGTAAAGCATAAAGTGATATACCATCACACAGAAAAATTCTAAGTGACAGTAGTCAGATTAAAACTTTAAAAAAATTCAGTTTTCTCATTTTATGGACATTGTCCGTACAGACCATGGCTGTTCCTTGGACATAAATGTTTAATGGTCATTTCATGGACATTTTCAAGGAAATCCATGACTTTTCAAAGGACATTTGTCAAAGTGTATTCATTTCAAGGTCACTGCCAATGAAGTCCATAGCTTTTTCATGAAGTCCACGGACATTGTCATAAAGTCCACAGACAAGTCTTTGGCTTTTCCAGGAACTTCACGGACATTGTCATAAAGTTCATCGACAAGTCTTTGGCTTTTCAAATGAACTTCACGGACATTGTCATAAACTGCAAAATGTCTGTAAATATTTCATGGAAAATACCTATTAATTTATGGGAAAAGATGGCTTTCTATAGAAATCTTTTTTCACATGGAAATTGTACATCCGGGAATCATGTCTACCTGGCCAAATCTCGAGATATCTATTGATTGGACTGTTTTGCTCAAGAAGACACAACTACCAATTCTCTGGTTTTGCTAGCCTTGAAACAAGTCCCTGGTATTTATGTAGTGAAATTTCAGTGAATACCCAAATATAATAAGGAAATATTATGACTGTTTCACTCCTGGTAATATACAACTTTCAGAGAGCATAAGGAAAGTCATAACAGCTTTAATGATGATTACTCGGGTAATTAGAAATTAATACAACTTTATTACCGATTAATTATTAGTGATCAAGAGAGATTATTACTAACTGGTTTGATTTTTTACAGAAAATATCCATTTTATAAAAGCATTAATTTCTATTAAGGCTGTATGAGGGGTTTTTGGTGATGATTGCCCTTTAGGTATTAGGTTTCCTTTGACGTCAGTCAAGCCTGTCTCCCTGATATGTCTTAATCTGCTGCAGGAAAGGTATAATCTGAATAGATAAGTAGACCAATCACATTGAGCAAACCTGCCTGCTAGCCCTTTAGACCTGTCGTGTACACTATCTTCTGAGAATCAATAAGTTATCTGGAATCTTACGACTGTCTTCATGGTCTTATGAGGACATATACCGCCTGTGGCAGGGAAGGTTTCGTCTAGTTCATTGACGCATGACCAAGATCATTGCCGTATCTCAGGTGTTAAAACACAGGTATTGACAGGTATATTGTGATATGATGGATGCTACCTGACAGAGTTTATATCGTTCGCTAATGACAGCTGCTTTCTGTATAACGGTCGATATCATTACCGTCCATTCTAAATACGTAAACCGGACTCGCAGTATTTGTACATTCTACCACCCATATAAACAGTCCAAATGAATATCGTCCCACATTGCAGGCATAGCATAGCTATACAAACAAATCATCAAGTATTTCCTGTGTACGAATCATGACTGTCCTCTGTCACAGATCAAAAAACATACCACAGACATAGTGTATTTGGTTGTCACCGTAAACAGGATATTCAGAGGTCAATCATATTGACTGCTTGCAATACCATATTGAAAATATTATCATTTTGATAGTAGATGAACACAATACTTGAACAAGTACCCATGTTCGTGCATTGTGAACACAGACAGCTTTTTCAATTATGCTTGAAATGGCTGTGTTATTCGATCGACATCCTGGTATCACCTGGAATACTTGACAAGCATTTCATGTAGAAAGTGCTTTTGATGACGTTTGGAGCGTCATGTAATTATTGTCACACAAACATAATATTGATGAATACTTAAAAATACTGGAACAAAAATAGGAAAAACTTGAGAGAAAACCTGAATCAATCTGAACATAGGACTGTCTAAATTCAAAACACCCTGCTGTTATAATAAAGAAAACTTAGTCAATTGACCTTCAGATCTCGGTACAGGCACATATGGTGAATTATACAGACACAAAGGCATTTAAGATGAAATGAACATATTGAACTTTAACGTAAATGTTCAAAAACAAAATACCATCAATTTGAAGGGGATTAATATTAGTCCTGTTTTCCGGTCGAATGAATGGCATGTCATACCTCATTCAGCACTGTAATACTGTACTGAGTGTTTAAACAGACCACACTAAGATCACTTAATTCAACACCATAATACAGCACACTTATTTATCCGATCATCAATCTATTTATCTGTTACAAAAAGCTCATGACACATCCGTACCTATTTAAATTGATCCAATAAGTGTTACACAAATTGTTTACAGTCTTAAAATTCTTCTTTTTAATCTAGGACTATCTGAAATAACAGTTTATCACAAAAGGTCTTTATGTCCCATCTTAATAGGGTGAGAAAACTTGACTTTCTATTGGTTTCGTGACTTATCATTGATTGAATGACCAACAGTAACAAAAGTTTTGACATAATCCATCTCAAAATAGATGTCAAATTTCAACCTCTTTACATTCTTCTTAAAGTTATCTTTAAGGCCATGACGACCATCTGTCCAAGAAAGGATGTTGACAATTTCATTTATTGAAAACTTTAAATACCACGTATAAACATTTTGCCAAAATTCAATTGAGAAAGACAAAATATCTTGCCACCATTTATATCTCTTTTAGAAGTTGTTGCTTGAAATTTTGTGTAAAATATGTTGAACTTTCCTCATACTTACAGAGAGTAAAGACCATACATTAGGAAATGAAGATACCTAAGATGACAAAATATATTTTTGATAAAATTGACCGTTTGCTTGCTATGTTAGCCATCCATTTGTAGAACAGTGAATCAAGATGAACATGGTAACCTCAGTGTCTACACTACCATGTCATTTACAAAAAAACAGAGTCAGTTCATCTCTGGAAGTTACCCTGGTAAAACCAAAGGAAAAATGTCCTCAAATACCTTATGTCTCCTGTACACCTAACCTGACCACTAAGGGAGCATCACATGGATCACCCCCTTACTGCTGCCCCCCCCCCAGCCCCACCCCCACTTAGATATTAATTATGTGGATTGATCTCCATTTAATTGCTTCTACAAGCTGTTTTCAAGTCAACACAAAGCTGTGCATTGCAAAATGAATAGTGCAAATTGGATTTTTTTTTTATGAGATGATGATGATTGGAAAGACCTACTCCCCTTTCAGATTTTTTTTTTTGATGATTGGAAAGACAAATTCAACTTTATGAAATAACAACATCATTGTATTTTCATTTAGTTTAATGGTGTTTTTACTGTTTTTTTTGCTAATCAATTTCCACTGAAGTTCCATGTTGTGCAGTACATAAAACTACTTTCTCTTAAGTGGATCATAGTACAGTTTAACTCCCTGATCGATGTAGGTTACATCGTACACAAACAAACCAGAATTCCCTCGTTAAGCTTGAATAAATCTAGCAAAATTGATGGATTTCAACACGGAAGTTACAGTTACAGAGTACACACACACATCTAACCTCTATGGCTTTTTAATTTCACCAAGTTTTTTTTTTCCTTTAAATGTTGATCCAATATCAGAATTGGTCAGGCAAATGCAGAGAGTGACAAGACAAATGCCACACAAACTATAAGCTAGCTGTCAGGTGACAATTCCAGGAATCTGATTGGATGAATACTGAGGCAAATTGGTCCTCCTGGCATGATGAGTAATCTGCCCTTTAAAAGGTTTTAAAATATTAGCCTTTACTTTTTAAAAACTTTTCACTCAATAGAATTATGTCAGATGATAATCATATAATGATGATGGAACTGACTAGCTCGACACAACAGGAAAATTCCTAGAAGTAGAAAAACGGGAAATGAAATTAATTTCTCCACAAAGATCACAGTAAAAATCCTACCCCCCCCCCACCACACCGACATGGACATTATAAATCTATCTATAATCAGTCAATTTCTGAATCCTTTGAATGTCAGAATTCAGGATGAGAATTTTAAAAAACTTTGATTAATTAGAATATGTTCAATAACATGGTTTATTACTATCTGTGGAACAGTGACGAACATCCTGTATAGAGAATTATCCAGGCTTGGTGTTAATTAGCATTGCATATTTCATTAACAGTATTTTAATGACAATAACCTACCGATAATTACAAACCTATTTGCAGTCAAATTCGAAACAACATGCGAAGTCAGCATTTCAGACAGTGTATTTGTAATTGTGGTTCCATTTATATCTTATCATTATCGTGAGAAATTACCATTTCTGTCAAGCAGCATCCCCATACTTTTGCATATATGTTAAAGATTGCTTGTTTACAATGCTTTTTAAAAATATAATTTCTTTTTTTAACATTGCTGTTCCGAGAAAGCAAATTACTAGAGCATTTTTTTTTACATAAAACCTTTTTCTCGGAGAAGAAATATTATCTGAGTGGTTCTCGGAGTTATTGATTTTGAACATGCTTCCTTTGCATGTAAAAGACAGCTTGAGGTCAATAACATGTCGTAAAAATCTAAAACCAGTTTTTTAAATTTTTTAAAATTACATGAAAGAATTTCCAAGAAAAGCTGATTAACACGAGATAAGACTTACCTTATGTGAAGAAGAACAGGTAAAAACATCACAGACAGAAAGCAGATTCCTGGATCACCACATTCACACACCAATGAAGTCAACGATCATTTAATAGTCTGGTAATCTCCCGTGTTTTTAACTGCAAGGTGAAAATTGCAGAGATACAGTCGGTCACTTCAGGGTATCAGTGATCAGCATTTCAGATAAGCGTGTAACACAGTAGTGGACACCATCAATGACCAATACTTTCTACAACAGGTAATAAAAAAAAATGTCAACCTACCTAAGAGAGAAGACTCGGCCACTGGTCAGTCCATCAATATATTGGACAGGTGAGCTAACAGTGTGCAGTGAAGCGATGCGTCCACATGGTATTACCTTGGTGTGATTTACTATTATGCAGGGCTGTAGGGCCACAACACTGCTGCAGATACAAAACACATTTGTCAATATTTACTGTTAACCAAACACACTGAAACAACACATCACTTCAAACTATTACTTAAGCTCTACTGGACATTCTATGACCAAGTGCAAGACAGATTGTAGCCAAATTGACTACAGTGTATAATTACCATCGTGTGTATAATTTGGTCTATAATCTGTTAACCATCTTGTCAAACTATTTTTGACCATACAAAGGATTATATAGTACCGCCAAAAAAGTCAATTCCTTACCATCTCGTACACTACATACATCAATGCTAGTATGCTCCACACTGGTCACTTGTCTGACGAAGGTGACCATGTAGTCATTGAAATGTCACACTGTAATCTTCTACTGGTTGTGTTAGAAGAACTTCTATTCTGTTGACATTACCAACCTGAATTAAATGTTAAACAAGAGGCCCATGGGCCTTAACGGTCATCTGACAAAAAGCAAGCCAAACCTAAAAAGTGGGTTGAGGTCATTCATTTGAACAAACTTGGTAGCCTCTCCTCCAAGCATCTTACAGGCCCAATATCAGCACTCATGGACTTTTGCTTGTTGAGAAGAAGTCGTTTGTATATTTTAACATATTTGACCCCTGTGACCTTGAAAGTGGGTTGAGGTCATTCATTTGAATAAACTTGGTAGCCTTTCCTCCCAGCATGCTACAGACCCAATATCGGCACTCATAGACTTTTGCTTATTGAGATGAAGTCCTTTGTATATTTTAACATATTTGACCCCTGTGACCTTGAAAGTGGGCCAAGGTCATTCATTTGAACAAACTTTGTAGGGCTCCATGCCAGCATGCTATGGGCCAAGTATTAGCCCCCTAGGCCTTCTAGTATTTGAGAAGAAGTTATTTAAAGATTTTGACATATTTGACCCCTGCGACCTTGAAAGTTGTTCAAAGTCATTCATTTAAATAAACTTGGTAACCTTTCCTCCCAGCATGCTACAGACCCAATATCGGCACTCATAGACTTTTGCTTATTGAGATGAAGTCCTTTGTATATTTTAACATATTTGACCCCTGTGACCTTGAAAGTGGGCCAAGGTCATTCATTTGAACAAACTTTGTAGGGCTCCATGCCAGCATGCTATGGGCCAAGTATTAGCCCCCTAGGCCTTCTAGTATTTGAGAAGAAGTTATTTAAAGATTTTGACATATTTGATCCCTGTGACCTTGAAAGTTGTTCAAGGTCATTCATTTAAACAAACTTGATAGCCCTTCATCCCAGCATGCCACAGGCACAATATCAGCAATCTGAGCCTTTTGGTTATTGAGAAGAAGTTGTTTAAAGATTTTAACATATTTGACCCCTGTGACCTTGAAAGTGGGTTGAGGTTATTCATTTGAATAAACTTGGTAGCCTTTCCTCCCAGCATGCTACAGACCCAATATCGGCACTCATAGACTTTTGCTTATTGAGATGAAGTCCTTTGTATATTTTAACATATTTGACCCCTGTGACCTTGAAAGTGGGCCAAGGTCATTCATTTGAACAAACTTTGTAGGGCTCCATGCCAGCATGCTATGGGCCAAGTATTAGCCCCCTAGGCCTTCTAGTATTTGAGAAGAAGTTATTTAAAGATTTTGACATATTTGACCCCTGCGACCTTGAAAGTTGTTCAAGGTCATTCATTTAAATAAACTTGGTAGCCTTTCCTCCCAGCATGCTACAGACCCAATATCGGCACTCATAGACTTTTGCTTATTGAGATGAAGTCCTTTGTATATTTTAACATATTTGACCCCTGTGACCTTGAAAGTGGGCCAAGGTCATTCATTTGAACAAACTTTGTAGGGCTCCATGCCAGCATGCTATGGGCCACGTATTAGCCCCCTAGGCCTTCTAGTATTTGAGAAGAAGTTATTTAAAGATTTTGACATATTTGACCCCTGTGACCTTGAAAGTTGTTCAAGGTCATTCATTTAAACAAACTTGATAGCCCTTCATCCCAGCATGCCACAGGCACAATATCAGCAATCTGAGCCTTTTGGTTATTGAGAAGAAGTTGTTTAAAGATTTTAACATATTTGACCCCTGTGACCTTTAAAGTGGTTCAAGGTCATTCATTTGAACAAACTTGGTAGTCCTTCATCCCAGCATGTCACAGGCCCAATATCTACACTCTGAGCCTTTTGGTTAATGAGAAGAAGTTGTTTAAAGATTTTAACATATTTGACCCCTGTGACCTTTAAAGTGGTTCAAGGTCATTCATTTGAACAAACTTGGTAGTCCTTCATCCCAGCATGTCACAGGCCCAATATCTACACTCTGAGCCTTTTGGTTAATGAGAAGAAGTTGTTTAAAGATTTTAACATATTTGACCCCTGTGACCTTTAAAGTGGGTCAAGGTCATTCATTTGAACAAACTTGGTAGAGCTCCATGCCAGTATCCTCTGTGCCAAGTATTAGCCCCCTAGACCTTCTAGTATTTGAGAAGAAGTCGTTTGAATGAAAAGTTTACGGACGGCGCACGGCGCACGGCGCACGGCGGACGGCGCACGGCGCACGGCGGACGACGACGGACGAAGCATGATGACTATAGGTCATCGGACCCTTCGGGTCCAGATGACCTAAAAAGAAATGTAGTAAAGATTGAATGTAAAATGAGTGACTGAATCAGTAAACACATAAACTTACTGACTAATTCAATCTAAATCATGATTTAATCATGTTGACAGCTATATTTGAATCAAAACTCACAGAAACACGAGATTAAGGCTACTTTGATCTACTAAGGCACAAAGAAATCAAAAGATATTTTTTCTCTCCAAATTACTTCTGTCAGGAAGATGTTTTTCAGTTCGATATTGTTTATCTAGGTATCTATATATAGTAACACTGATCAGCCATATTCTTTGGATGGGTCTTACGTTTACATCCCAGAATTTGTTTTTTTCTTGTCTTCTTTCTATCGAATTATTTTCCTTGTTTCAAAAATAATAAATTTCAGCATGAATATGCTTTTAACTAAAATGCATTCAGATTAATCTATAAAAGGAACATTTTTGTAGTAGAAATAAAATTTTATGAATCATTTCGATGCTTGTTTTCTATGTTAATAAGTCCATCAGACACATATACTTTACAGGAGAATCTGATTTAGTCATACAAAAAAAAAAGTCAAATGACGCATCGAAACTGGCCATAACTGCAGGAAATATATTGACCAACACCAAGCCGAAGACAACGCCGACATGGTGTTCTACAACTGTCACTGGATCTACCAATATTTATTTTTTCGCTACATCTAGAGAAGAGTTCCAAATTGGCACTGATGAGGTTTTAATCAACATTTCATGGTCGTCATGCTGTCTCTGATTCTACTGATCACCTTGTATATGTAGCTCTTGCTTCGAAGATCCTCTCTATTACATATTTATGGGGTAATTTAAAGCTAAGACCTGTAATAAGCCCACTTACATCAGAAGAACTGTCTTCTCGTTGTCCAATTATAAGTCAAACCTCATGGACAGCTGTCGCCATCTGGGCATCATTGATTTTATTAAAGGGTATTGTACAGTATATATAATACTTTCACAATTATGCTGGACAAACAGTGCCAGTACAATAAAGTTTTATACAGACACAAACAATACCACAAATCCTTCTCACTAATTATTACAAAGACTGTCACTATGTTTATCAACGCATTAACAGTCACGGTCATTTTAGGATGGGTCTCTTTATAGAAACATGTGGTGGCTACCTCACTGAATAACATACTGGAGGCCCATCGCACGCCGTCCATAGCAATTAGGGTTAAGTGTCTTGTCAAAGGACACAACCATGTTAGCAAAGACCGGTCCATTTCCTGAGAAACAAAAGCCGCCTCAGGTGTCGAACCACACACCTCAAATCTACAGCCGAGGTTACGTAGGTCAATATTTTTACTGACTGAGCCAAGGCAGTCCCTACTGTCATCTTTTGTTTGATCAAATATTAGAATGTCTGGAACTGTTTAAAGACATGCTGTATTTCATAGTTGCAACAGTAAGAATCAATTCATCAATTAGCCGGTAGATCAGTTTGAGTGCTTAAACTACTGGTTCTCCATGCAAACAGCCACAGCTCATTTCCTGGTATAAGTGAACACTGAATTATCAAAGATGTATATCTTTAACTCAACATGGAGTTTTTCATAGCTTGCCCTTGAACAAGACTGCAAAGACATATAGATCTTGAATCTAAATGCTGTATAAGACTTCTCTCACAGATGTTGAAATAAGATTGGCTGGAGTACATCACCAAAGAGACAGGAAACATCCATGACGAAAAATTCTCTATCGACATGACAGTAAGCTGACAATTCATTGTCATTCAAATCTCAATAAAAATTGTACACAAAACTATTAACATCAACACATGTTAAACACAGATAATTAGTCAGGATAAAAAGTGTATTAGTTGTTCTTTTACTGCACTAAATAAATGATTTCATAAACATTTTGTTTGTTCAATGCAGGGTATATAAACCCAAAGCGCCATCCTTATTTTACCTCAGTAATGGTATTGATCACGGCATATCATCAAAGTTGTTTGACTTCAAAGAGTTGTGTCCACATTATCAAAATGATCAGACAATTTAAATCCAGTAGTGAAAGTATTCAGATCTCTTGTATGAAATATTTTCACTTCTTGAATTAGGTAAAAAATAAATCGAATATTAAAATAAGAAAAAAAAAATCTTTTCAAAGTATAATTAACTTGGTAGATTTGATTTTTGACAGGTTTAATTAAAAAAGATATTGATTTTAATCATTTAATGTGCTCTGGCCCTGTTTTGCCTGAGTGGTTCAAATTTAGTACCAAAATTGTTTTGGTGTGTTGTAAATTAGGAATTCTTAGGTCAAGCAAATCATATCAAAACCAAACGAGCAGAACATCCTTCTTTTTCTTTTTGAATGAACTGAACTTTTTCTTTTA